GCTTGAAAAGGGAGGAAGAAAGAGGCAAATTCAGTTTTACAGTATACACAGTTTTAATAACAAAATGCTTCTGTACACTGCACTTGTTTTACTCCATTACTCACACCCCCTCCCACCAGAAGTTGGCTCTTGAAACATAATTTAAACACAATGCATCTAGGACTCTCTGTAATCTTGGGTTGGTAAGCTGGTAGAATAGTTCACTTACTAGTGTTTTCATTAGTAAAAAGAAAAATGGGGTGGGTTTTGTTTGGCTTTTTACAAAGGAGTGGTTGGGAGATGGCCGGTGTAGCTTCTTGGTGCTTACACAGGGGTGTACAACCTGCTTACACAGGGGTGTGCAATGCTATTTCACCCCATCTGAGGGCTGACTATACCCCTCAAGGCTTCCGATACCTTTCCCTAGATGCCTCTCACAAGGCAGATTTTTACACAAGATGTGAAATGCTGAATTTCCAGCTGATTCTGAAATTATCTCTAAGCATCCTGCTAACGTGGTGCCTTAAAAAGCAACGCCCAGCACCAATTTTAGCATCTGGGACATTTGCAGTGGAGGAAGGTGTGGGGAGGGAGGAGCTGCTGCCTTTGGTTTCTGTTGTTTCCTTGTGTGTTCCTTTTGGGAGGGGAGGAGAAATACTGTATCCCCCTCTGAACTTGTTTAATTTTTATGGAAAAACGTCATAAGAAAGATGAAATTCAGCTGCTGGGTAAGTTTCATAGGTCTGAACAGATGGATTTTGATAGCTCACAGATCACAAAATTAAATCAACTTTATTTCCATTAAAGTAGTACAGAAATTATCTTAGACACATTAAAAATAAGCGTGTAGTGCAGATTTCTGGTTTAAAGCCACAGGATGTGTCTGATTTTACAAGGTAGCAATAGGCCCTGTCTTGTAAGGGGGTAATGGGACAGAAGCTCAGATTTGCATGTGGCTGATCACTGAAAAATTGGATCATTTCTGCTTGGGGGAGAAACAAACAAAACCGAACACCAATGGAGCAGCATTCATTATGTTTCCATCTGATAGGGAACGGGAGCTCAGTGCAGAGGAGTGCTTCAGCTGGAGACTGAACACTCACCCATTTCACCCTTCATCGAGTCATTTTTACTTGTGTGCATTTAAACACTGATCTAATGCAGAGAGACTAACTGGGAGCATTAATTCAGCCTGTTCCAGGAGAATGACTCAAAACCTGAACTTGTGCTGCTGGGTTTCCATTTCACTGACACAAGGGTGAGGAGCAGGGGAAGCTGCCTGGATATCAGCGAGGATGGAGGAGATCTTTGGATGGGATGAGGACCTCAAGAGCAGTACAAGAAATTCTGTTTCTAAAAGACCCAAAGACCTCTGAGGTTGTGCCTGGAGATGTTGAAGCACCTGTAAGCAGTGTAGGATCTGTACAAACCGAGGCTGTGCAGCAGAGATTGGGGAGGGCAGGTTAACAAGCTCCTGTCATCAGCCAGTGCTGGTACTGAAATACGATTAATTTAAACCAAATCATCCTGGTTCTTGTTCTGTCAACAAAATAAATTGGGGACTGCTGAGTAGCACAATTATTCCAATCCCCTCCTTGCCTGGAAGAGTCACAAGCAATTGCAAATGGAAGACAGCAACTTTAAAATAAAAAATATTAACAGCCTCTGGCTGTGTCCTTGTGCAGAGCGATGGCTCTGCCTGGTGCTCGCTGTCCCTCTGCAGGGAATTCAAGTTGACTTCACTGCTGCTGTTTGACATTCTGCGAGTTTTATGATACCTGTTACCCTAAATGTAATGTTTGCTGAATTGCTTTGCTTATGCCTGAAACCTGGCAACAAATGGGTTTGGAAATAGCAGACGTAAACCAGAGCATTTGGGAGACTGGCAGTGGAGTGCAGAGAGGGAACAGGAGCAGTGCTGGGCTGTGCCTGCTGGCCTCCTGCTCCTGCTGTGTGCAAGCCAAGCACTTGAGCACCAGTGGACACTTGGGTGCCTGGGTGGGTGTGCTTGGACAGGCACTGCAACAGTGCTTTAATGCTTGGAAAACCACCGTGGGTGACAGGGATGGGGAGGAGGGCTAAATGCAGCATTGCTGGAGGATCTGTCTCTGCTCTTCCTGGGTGGAATGAAAAGTCATAAAGATGGAGTGGGACAGAGCTGGGCTGTTGGGAAAGCACCTCCTCTGGAGGAACCTCAGCTCCTCATCAAGCAGCCACTTCTTGTTCCCCTGTGGAAGACTGAGGTGGTACCCCTTGAACCGTCTGACAGCCAGGGTTCCTGGGATTGCTTCCTGCAGACACAGCTGAGGCTGTCAGAGTTCAGTGGTGACATCTGATTGGGGATGGCAGCACAGCCAGATTATTTGGTTGCCAGAATAATTAACAAGCTCAGTGATGACTTTGTCTGTGCTGGTACCCTGCAGCTGTAGTTGGCAGTCATCCCCGAGTGCCTCCTGCCCAGGCTCCCAGAGCTGGCCCTTGCCAGCCAGTGCAGGGTGAGGGGCAGTGATGCCCACCCAGTGCTCACTCACCTGCTCCTAGAGCAGCATCCTGGGCCTCGGGAGGGCTGTGAGCACTTAGTGATGGGAAGGAGCAAAGCAAATCTCCCTACAGTAGCTAAATACCCCTGGGGACCAATATAGGGTTTGTATTTCTCAGCTTCGCTCTGGCCTTCTGCCTCACATGGGATTTAACCATCCAGAATATCTGCTCTTTGTCCAGCTACCCCGCAGGATTTTTTGTAGTCAGTTAAAAGCAGTAATTAATTTGCCAGAACAGGTGTAAATGGACTCATCTTAGTATCACCAGTAACAAAAGTTCAAAGAGATCTCTGTGGAAATCCATTAGGCTTCACTGGATCATCTCTTCCATTAAAGTACAGAGTCAAGGGAAGTAAACAAAATATTGGTTTTATATTAAGGGCACACTGTATGTAAAAGTAAAATGATGCAAATTAATATGTTCAAAACCAGAAATTGAAAAACCTTTATGTAAAATCTTACGAGAAGTTACTTATCTTGCTATAATTGCCTTGGACAAATTCATCTCACAAGAAAACATCAAACTGTTGTATAATTGCACCCTAAATACCTCACTAAGTGGCAATACAGAGAGAAAAGCAGAGTGAAATAGCAAACGGATTTTTGTGCAGTGGTTTTTCTGTTTAAAAAGTTTGCAGGATAGTTTAGTACATCACAATTAGCATACTGTAATTATGGATTTGGTCAAAGTATGGCAACACTGTGAGGAATTTCATTTCTTCATCGGGGTGTGCTGGTAATTGTTTAACACTGCAGCATTGGACACAACACATTTTTTAGTTATACATACATGTATATATATATAAAATAATTCTCCATCCCTCTGAATCTTTTAGCTTTGGTTAGAATGTTTACAATATTTGAGCAGTTGACTTAAAAATAATGTAATTCTTTGCAGACCCCCCACCCTCCCACCCTTGTGGCATCTGAGTACCACCATCGCTGCATAGATCTGCAAATATTTACATATAATTCCATAATAGAGTATAAATAGCAATATGGTACTTCTGGCTAAAGAAACCAAATTACCCCTTAGAATGAGGTGTATGTGTATATATATTTATATATGATTTTTTAAAAAGTCTTACTAGTTTAGATTCTGTCCCATATCGAGTAAGAAACAAAACATTTTTCAGTGAACTATTCTATAAACTAATCATATTCTCCTAACTTATCAGAAGGGATCTTTTTTTTATCTTGAATTTTGGAAGAGGAGGACAAGTAAGAGCTTATATTACAGGGGCTAATTCTGTCTCCAGAGAAACCAGTGGAGTTAGTGCATGAAAATAGCTTCCCAGCCAGAGGAAGCCTCAGCTGGGGGGGCAGCAGGGGGACAAAGAGAGGCTTCTTCCTTCCTTCCTTTCTTCCTTCCCTCTTCTCCTTAACCTTGCTGTTGATATTTGCTTTTAATTAAGAGAACCTTGCATTAAGGGTATTTACACATGAAAAGGTGCTGAAATGCTGTTTGTTCATCATCATTAAGTAATTAGCCTGAATTCATGAAAAGCATCATCAAGTGAAACCAGGGAACCGAGGACTGAATGTACTTAATATTTCCAATCGATGCCAGTGTGCTGAGCCTCTCTAAAGAAGCTGCAGTGCCAATCTGGGGACACACGGAGGGGTGTCCTGCTCCTGGAGGGGTGTTTGCACATCCTGCCTGGGGCTGTGTGTGTGCCCATCCTGCTTCACACTCTGTGTGTGTGTGTGCCCATCCTGCTTCAGACTGTGTGTGTGTGTGTGCTCATCCTGCCTGGGGCTCTGTGTGTGCCCATCCTGCTTCACACTCTGTGTGTGTGTGTGTGTGTGTGTGTGTGTGTGTGTGTGCTCATCCTGCCTGGGGCTGTGTGTGTGCCCATCCTGCTTCAGACTGTGTGTGTGTGTGTGCTCATCCTGCCTGGGACTGTGTGTGTGCCCATCCTGCTTCAGACTGTGTGTGTGTGTGTGCTCATCCTGCCTGGGACTGTGTGTGTGCCCATCCTGCTTCAGACTGTGTGTGTGTGTGTGTGCTCATCCTGCCTGGGGCTATGTGTGTGTGTGTGCCCATCCTGCTTCAGACTGTGTGTGTGTGTGTGCTCATCCTGCCTGGGGCTATGTGTGTATGTGTGCCCATCCTGCTTGGGACTCTGTGTGTGTGTGTGCTCATCCTGCCTGGGGCTATGTGTGTATGTGTGCCCATCCTGCTTGGGATTGTGTGTGTGTGTGTGCCCATCCTGCCCGGGGCTGAGTGCTCATCTGTGTGTGCCCATCTTGTTCCTCCCTGTATGCCCATCCTGCCTGGAGCTGTGTGTGCCTGTCCTGCCCATCCCGCTCTTGTGTGTGTGTGCCCATCCTGCCCGTGTGTGTGTGCCTGTGTGAACTGCTCCTTTCTGTGCCTGCTGTCCCTTTCAGCAAGCTGAGTCGTGAACATGCACAAAGCAAAACTATTTCAGATAAATTCACCCCAATGCACTGAAATTCCCACCTGGACCTTTGTTGCTCTTTATTTTTTTTTTTTCCTTTTGTTTTCCCTCCCTTCCCTTACTGGAGTGAAATGCTCAGAGGAGGAAAATCTTCCTCCTGGGCTGCCTTTAAAGTGCCCAGAGCCAGCTGCAGTGTTTGGGATCCTCCAGCTGCAGTGGAACAAACGGAGCGCACGTCCCCCACAGATCCCTGCACAGATATCCAGTCTCCTTCCCCTAAGACTGTTTGCAGTAGAAAAAGTAGAATATGGAGACTCGGGTATAAATGTTTACACACAGTCATATAATTACATAACATGAAACATTTTACATAGTTTGAGGTGAGCATCTCTTTGACTTTTAAACATTAGGAGTGCAAGTTGAATGTAATCATTGCTTCTTTAACACTGAAAATATTATGGATTTATTTTTTAAAAAACTTAAAAATACTGCACCACTCCATAAACAATGTTTCCATTAAGTAGCTTGGAAAATTAGGCTTTATGTCAACATTTGTAAAAATTAGAATCTGATGTAGGTCCCTACAATTTTAAAGTAGGTTACTTATCTGATTTACTTTGTGATGGGCTGTAGGTATTATACTTCACATTCTTTGTAGGGCAGCTGCTGGCACTTGCACTGTCCGTAGCCATTGATGATGATGAAGGGTCCTTCGTGGGTGGGTTCGTACTCGTTATAGGGTCCTTGGTCTGACATATTGGCCATATGCAGCCGCGTTTGGGATCGGAGCTGCCTGTGGTTTTGAATCATTGAGCACTGCCTAATTCTTCTTAGTGTGGGAGGGCAGCACTTCCTGGAGATGAACACTATAAAAATGATAAAAAAGAAAGAAAACAATAAAGCCATTGTTCCTGTAATTACCCTCTGAGTGAAGATGGCATTGTTTGGCTCGGGGAACTGTTCTTCGGTGGTAACGACCATGCCTGCTGTAGTTGGAATCTCTTTGTCTCCCACATGGAAATGAGAAGAGCTTATTCTTTTCGTGTACTCGGTAGTTGGAGCTGTGTACGGTGTCGTAGCCACAGGGGTAACCACAGTCGATAAATTCCAGCAAAGCTGAAAGCCATACACTGCATCCAGAATATCCTCTCCCTGGGTGTGGTCGGGGCTGTGGCAGAGGATGGCATGCTCCCACCGACCTTGGAAGCCACTCAACCATGTGGCCAAGGCGCAGATCTTTGAGCTGCATTCCCACAGATTGCCGGAGAGGCCCACGGTGGTGAGGGATGTCAGTGAGCTCAGGATCTTGGAATCCAGAGTGGTGAGCTTGTTGTTATCCATGAGGAGGGTTTTAAGGTTAGGCATAGTTTCAAAGACGGTGAGGTCGATGGCTTTGATTTCGTTTCCAGTCAAATCGAGCTTTGCTAAGGTGCCCCAGGTCCACTCCATCCCACATGTCAAGTTGCTAATTTTGTTCCACTGCAAGAAGAGCGTGTGCAGGCTGCTCAGCCGGAGGAAGTGAGCAAAATTAATCTTTGTCAGCTGGTTGTGCTCTAGGTGAAGCTCCCTCAGCTTGATTAATCCCGCAAATCCATTGCGAGCCAAACTTCGCAAGCGATTTGTGCTCAAATCCAGGAATTCCAGGCTACGACAGTCCCAGAACAGGCGGACCGGGATGGTCCGCAGGGAGTTGGATCGCAAGTGCAAGGTCTGTAGCTTGCGAAGGCCGTAGAAGAGCTCGGGGTGCAGAGAGGATAACTGATTAAAAGAGAGGTCCAAATTCTGCAGGTTAAGCAGCTGGCTAAAAGTTGTGTTTGGCAAATGAAAGATTTTGTTGGAACTTAAGACTAATTCCTTAAGTTTATACAGTCCTTGAAAAGAATCTTCTCTGACTGTTGCAATTTGATTATGATCTAAGTGAAGCCAAGTAAGTTGACTGAAGCTTGCAAATTGATCCCTTTCAAGTTCAGTAATATAATTGTGCCTCAGTGACAAACCTAGCGAGCCCTTTTCAGTGGTGTTTGGCACTGAGTGAAACCCCTGAGAGTCACAGTAAAAGAGCAGCTTCTCACAGCGACATTTTGGTGGACAAGCCATGCCCAAGGCAGGCAGCATTTTTAAAACCATACTCATTGCATATAGTGCTGCCAGCATACGAGCCCCTAATGGCCACTTGAAATGTAAGCCTGCAGAATATAATTTAGGAAAACAACAAGATAGGATAGCCTTATCAGTACACTTGGAATATCACGGTGGAAGATTTCACTGCAGATAACATTGCCATGCATTTCCAACAAGCTAATTCTAAATGCAAGAAACAACTTACTACGACAAACCGAATACTTGGATATTACACTTAGGAGGAGGCTTTATCTCGATTACGGAGGGTTACAGTGGCGCTATCGGAAAACATTTTTTTCATAAGGTTCAGTGCAGAGCAATCAGCTTTAGCATCTTAACTGCTCCTTTAAAGCAGAGCTGTCATTCATTATACAAGGAACAGAGAAACGCAGGAACTTACCCATTCTTTTGAGTACATTGGAGGGTGCATTCAGTCGTAGTTTGAGACTCAACGCCGTGAGTCTGTGAAAGGCTCTAATGTAAGACAGCCTTGAATAATTGACTGGGTTTAGTGTCCTTTGATATTAGTGCAAAATCCACGATGCTCTATTGGAATATTCCTTTTGAAATTGCTGCCTTGATCTCCTCTGACAGGTCTGCAATTTTTAAATCTTAACACAAGTTTTTGTCCTCCGTGGCTGCTCAGCTGGTTAATTGAAGCTCACGTTTTCCTTTTCCGCAGCTGTGGCTTCCTTTAGTCCTAACTTGTTGATGGCAGATGGGTGGCTTATTGCTGAGAGAAGCTCCTGTAGTAGCATGAGTGCATTTACTGAAAAGCTTTTCAGGGAAGCGGTACAAGAATGGATTTGCTTATGCGCTGCGACCACACAGGGCTCTATATAGGCTGACGTCACCTGGTGACGTTCCTTTTGTTTGGGTTTTCCAGAAGCTTTGCTGTTTTAAAGCATTGTGCTGCATGCTGTGATCATGTTAAAGACCACTGATAGAGGGGGAAAAATCCCGTGGCAGGAGTCCTTGGTTCCCAGGACAGCAGGAGCAGGAGGGACTCGCAGCTCCCTGCTCCCCCCACGTCTGCGCCTGCTCTGGGGTTAAAAGCAGCGCAGAGCCGCGGATGGAAGTGCCTGAGTGCTGCCTGCTCCCACTTTTCTGCTAAATCTCCCTGCATGAAAGGAACTTTTAGATGCAAAATGCGCAGAGTTTGAATAGAGGATGCTGGTCAGGACCGGCTTTCATGGAGGTGAGAGGGATTGGGCAGCTCAGAGCTCTGTGTGACAGCTGTGTGCGACTGTGGTCCCTGCAGAAGTGCAGAGAGCAGTGCTGGAGCGGGAGCAGGAGTGTCAGGAAGTACAGCCCGGGAGCAGGGCACAGGGGCAAGCGCTTTGAGCCAGGAGAAATTTCTGGAAGAAGCAAAGCTTGCCTTAGGGCACAGGAAAAATTTAATTGGAATCCAGCTTGACAGTGTGCGGTTATGAAACTAGAAAATCTATTTTCTCCTCCCAAACGGTGGCTTTTGTACTTGCTTTTTCCTGGGCACTGGAGTGCAGGGCGGAAATGGTGAGATTGACATTTCCAGTCGGGGCTCAGAGCGGTGCGAGGGCTTCCTTGTGGTCACCACAATGTCCTGCTGCTGTGTGTCCCCTCAGAGAGGGGGGACACCGCTCCAGGAGCCCCTGGCTGCAGGGTGGGTCTGTCGCAGTTATCCTGTGAGTTTGGGGCTGCAGAGCTGTGTGTGCTCTCCAGCCCCGCCGGGCTCTGGCTGGAGCGTGCACACGCAGCCAGGAGGAGGACAGTAGGCTGTCCTAGGGCTGTTTGCTTGCTTTAAAGGTTCATTGCCCTTCATTATTCAGAGCAACCTCTCCTCTGGGACAGCTGGTCCTGAAAGGTAAATGACCAGGTTCGATTGACATTTTTATATGATTTTAGGATGCATGTGCAGGTAAAGCCTTTGGAGCCACTGCTCTGGTCATAGCTCAGTGTAGGTGCAGGGGGGTGCTGGTTTCCTGCTCCAGGCAACTTGGATAAGCTTTTTTAAAATTTTCTCCTTGAAATATAGAGAAACAATGGAGAGGAGGCACTTGAAAATGTTTGCTGTGTAGCAGTGAGGTATCGCCTTTAACCTCCAAGTTCTGGAATGAGCTGAGAATAACAAATTTCCCATGATGATGGAGGAGGATGAATTGTGTTTAAAATAAAATGGCTGTTTACCTTTGTCATTAAGTGTTGGGTCCTTGCTTTGGTTCCTTGGAGGTCATTGCTTAAAGCAAAACCTGCTATTCTCTGCCTGCTTGTCCCTTGGCTGTCCTGTGGTGGAATGGTGACGCTGCCTCTGGTGCCTCCTTTCTGGGATGGGCACACTCAAGGGCAGCACTGAGTGGAAAGTAAAGCGATGGAGAACGTGAATGCACAAGAATAAAATCTCAAAAAACTCAAAAAAAGCTAAAGCAAAACAAATAAACCTTATCCTGAGCCCATCAGGAAAGTAGCATTCTTTAATCGTTAAGCAAATTAGGAAATATTGGATAAATTTCTTAAATTGCTCTGCCATAGTAAATGTTTTCACATTTGCTCCAGTGTGAAAGAAATCCATGCAAAGAAATTACATAAACTTATTTAAAGAGATTCTTCTCGTTTAATGTTGAGGGTACAAAGAGCTCAGGGTCAGCTCCAGCTGTCCAGTGGAACCTCGGCTCTGCAGCACCTGCAGAGGATTCTTGGAGCTGCTCTGTGCAACACCCTGATCCGAGGCGTTGGTTTTAATTCTAATCACATTTCAATATGTTACCATAACATTTAACAACAGCATTCCAAAGGGTATAATTAGAGGTCAACTGTCAACTCTTTCCTTCTTCCCAGGAGACTGAAATTAGGTATGGTTGGAAACATTTTGCTTTTTTGCATCAATATCTGCTGGTAGGTTCCTCCCACGTTAAGATTGTGTAATTTGGCATAGAGTTAAGAGTTAATGTTCGAACACGGTGAGTTGCTCCTTTTCTGAAGCTCTCCATTCTTTGGCCCTTAACCAAACAAGGGCTATTTAGCACCTTGCCAGCGAGTTTCCTGTTTAGGAAACTGTTAACGCGAACTTTATGGGCGCTTTTCTTAGCAAAACATGTTTTTATGTGCACTTGCTGTGAAATAACAGTTATTACCTCAAGTGTGCATCTCAGTCTCTGAAGTCTGGAACACTGCAGTAACATTTATATTGCTCCTTGCGAGCTGCCTAGGGTGTCAGGATGCAACAGACTGGGAATAAACCCCCAGAAAACTCTGGCAAATGCATTTCTTCTGAGCCTGAATAGTCATTGCCCAGCATGAAAAGCCATGTCTGATGCCACCTGGGCACTTCTGCCACAGCAGGAGCTTGAAGGCAGCCTGAACCCTCACATGCAGTGTGGACAGAGAAATTGGCAGAAATAAACTTGCTAGGACCAAGGGTTTTGAGGCCTTCTCACCTACCCCGCTCCTGGAGCAGCAACACAACTGGTTTTCTTGCTAAACCCATGTGCTGGGAAAGTAGAATTGCACCCTGAGGCGAGCGTTGTCATTTAGTTAGGCTGACATCTTGTGGAAGCCTTCCTCGTGTATTAAGAGCAGTATCCAAGCTAATTTTACTGGATGGAGATGTGAGGGCTGCATGGCTTTGCTGTGCTGGGGGCCTGGAGCTGCAGGTGAGGCTGCAGCAGGTGGGACAGGCAGCCCATGTGTGGCACTGCCAGCAGCCCGTGTGTGGCACTGCCAGCTCACCCTTCTGGCTGCAGGAGTGGCCGTGGGAATGATTGCTGGGCATTAGCACCTCGGGGACTACGGGAGGATTTGCTGCCTTTTGGCCAAAGGTTGTGTTTGTGCTGTGACACAGGGCTGTGAGGCAGGAGCTGTGGCTGGAGTGTCACCATGTGTGCTCTGTCACTTGGATTCGCTGCTGTGGAAGCACTGAGCCCTAGGAGGGGACACACGGGACAAAGGCACGTTGGAGGTGACCCAGCAGCAGAGATGTGCCCAGGGCTTCAGGCCAGCTGCAGAGTCCTTTGGGGCAGGGCAGTGGGAGGGATGGGCACTGAAGGTTGGGTGTCCTTGTCTTCATGGGAGCAAAGGGCACATGTGGTGGCACGACACGGTGGCTGTCACCTCCCTGTCTGGCAGCTCTCTGCACCTGGCACTGGCTGTAATTCCTCCTCGTACCAGGGTGAGTGCAGGAGCCACCCTTCCCCTCTCTGTGGTGCAGCCTGGCCGTGGGGAGGGATGTCAGGGTGGCAGTGCTGTGGCATGGCCAGCTGGGTGGGGGGACACTGCAGGCAGCTTTATTGTCACCCAGGTTCTTGCTGAAGCCCGGGCAATGCCATGCAGCCCATTTGCTGTGCTGAGCTGTGCCTGGCTGTGGGAGACTCCTTCCTGCAGCAAACCAGGGCACAGTCCTGCTTCCTGCACTTGGATGTGAAAACACTGCTGGAATTGGCGTGGGTCAGCCTCAGTGCTCACACTGCCTGGCCTGGGTCAGCCCTGCTTTGGCTGGCATGGGTTGGCAGCCCTGCTGTCCCAGTGATGGAGGGCTGTGCATGGTTATCCTCTGGACACAGAGTGAGCCTGGGTGGCAGGGCAGAAGCAAGCGTGGGACACAATGCACCCGAGAACTGATGTCCAGTGTCCCCTGGCAGCAGAGCTCAGAGGTGGCACAGTGACACACAGTGACACACAGTGACACACAGTGACACACTGCCTGCCCACAGGAAGGTGTGCCAAGCACTCACTTGTAGCTTACTCAGCGCCCATCATTAACCAGGATGCTGCCTGTTGTACTGACAGCCCAGGAGTCAATTCCCAGACACCTGAAGCAGAAATCTCTCTGCCAACCATCCTTTTTGGTGCTTGTGTGTGGGTGGAGGTGGCACAGTGGTGACTCTCAGCAGTGCTGTATCTGGCTTACATCTGGGTGCTGATTTGGGAGGGGACATGGTGGGCTCTGCAGGGAAGGTGTGAGGTGCTGCTGAGCAGGAGGTACTGTCTCCCTCAATACCTCTGTGGGCTCAGTTTAACCCAAACTGATGATGAACCTTTAAGATTAACAGCAGATGTTTGTGATATTTAGCTACAAGAACATAACTTTGAGTAGCTGGTTACAGGACCTGATCCTGTTGATCCTGGTGGAATGCACTGCCACCACCATGCTCATGTACCTCCATAGATCAGTTGGGATTAGATTTTAACCTCCATAGCTATAGGAAAAGCTTGAGTCTGTCTTTTGCTTGTCTGAATTCAGATGGTACACCTACAGCAGGAAGGCTTTGTGACAGAAATGATGATTCTGCTCCCCTCCCTGTGTACAAATCCCCTTTCTTTGCTTTGAGCATTAAAAGAGTCCCCTCTGGGGATGGTGGTGTGAGCTGGGACTGCAGGGATGTCACAGGGAATGTTTGTGGAGTTCTGCAAGGGGAGCAGCAGTGATGGGGGAAGAGCAGAGATGGAGGGAGTGGGGGTAACGAGCAATTTTTAACATCAATTCTATCCTCTTTGATAAAGATCTGATTTAATTTAAAGTAAATTTGCACCATGGCTAAATTTATTATCCATGATACTGGTCAGAGTTGGGATATCATACTGCAGAATGATTGACATGGTCATCATGACCCTATTAAATCTACTGAATCTATTAGCTGCTCGCTGGCTGCAGGGTTTGTGATTCCCTCAGCAGAGTTTTGTGCTGAATATCTAAAAATCCTATTAGAAATCTGAATATTTGGTCTTCACTCTTGTGAGTCCTCCTAATCCCATGGATAGCAGGAGCTGCTGGCTGGGCTGCCTTGTCCTGCTGGGTCATTAGCTGGCTCCTCAGTGAAGGCTCACACCAGACATGAGCACCAGTTTTTAATGGTCAGCCTAATTGGTTAGTGGAACAAATTACCCAGAAGAGCTAAACTGGCACTTGGAGCCTTTAAAACATGATTTATTAGTTGAGAGAGGGAGCCCAGCTCAAAGAGGACTTTTGAACTGTAGGGTGGAACCAATGGCTAAAGTTCCTGACTTGTGTGACAGC